CATATATTGCATTATTTGTTTCAGAGGTACAGATCTGTGATTCAACAGTCTTGCACAATTCACAGCGCTCACCATAGCACATACCCTCCCCAATGTCTATTGGTGGTGTTGTTTTTAAACAAACTGATGAGACACATTTTTAAGTGCTACTTATGATAAACATTCCATTTTGTGTGCAGCCCAGGACATTTTCATATCCAGTAATGTTATAGAAACATAAAAGGCTGAAGTTAGGAGTACTTTTATTTTGTGGTCGAGAACACCTAGTTATAAAGGGAAATGGTAGCTTGCCTGGTCATCCACTGGGTGAGATGTATGGCACAGGGGATACATAGTCATATCGCAGTAATGTTATGGTGACAGGTGGTGACTGCACTTATTGTGGTAGGGAGAAAAGTCATCCACTGAGTTTGTCGCAGAGCTGAAACTGGAGTTCAGCTTTCCTCCTCTCTGCTGCTCAAGGGCACTTTCCACCTCCCCATGACATCCACATCTAATAAGACGCATCTGGTCCCATTAGTTCGCTGTAAACTCTATTTAGTGCAAGGTGGAAAATAAGGTACTATGTGTTAATTCCAGATTCAAATGTAGAAAATCACACTCTTCTTCCCTATGTATCTTCTGATTCTAAATGTGTTAGTCTTTTATGTTTTGCCAATTAGAACCTATTTCCAGAAATCAGTTTTAAAATATGGCAATTCCACAAACAATGAATCATGGAACGCTACATCAAAAACTAATGATGTGGGGCGCCTGGGTGGCTCAGTTGGTTGGGCGACTGCCTTCGGCTCAGGTCATGATCCTGGAGTTCCGGGATCGAGTCTCGCATCGGGCTCCCTGCTCGGCGGGGAGTCTGCTTCTCCCTCTGACCCTCCTCCCTCTCATGCTCTCTGTATCTCATTCTGTCTCAAATAAATAGATAAAATCTTTAAAAAAAAAAAAAAAAAACTAATGATGTAATGTATGGTGATTAACATAACAAAAATAATTACAAAGTCAAAAAAATAAAATAAAATATGGCGATTATGCTGAAGGGATTATGTTCTCCAGAACTTTGAAGAAATATGGAATCGTTTGGTTTCTAGGAAAAACTAATATTTAATTTTAAATTTAGATTCATAAACAGAAATCATAACTTCCCAGCTTTCTAACCATCCAGGAAAATGTTGATATTAAAACAGATGATTATTGTTCTCTACTCACATGACCATTATGTTCAGGAGAAAACAATCAGCTTTTTGTTAACTAGTGAGACAGGAAATAAATGAAATCAAGCATAATGAGCATTTACTTCAAGCAGCACAGAACAATGAGAACTCCTCTCTCCTTCTGTCTAAATCTCCACTCCATTACCCCAGCTTCTTTATCCCATACTGTGGTATTCTCAAAGGACAAAGTTGCAAAAGCTAGCTAGATGAAGTTTTCCAAAGGAAAGAAGCAGAAGACTTCTAATACTTGGCAAAGAAAGGTCCATTAAGACAGAAAGAGAAAAATGGTCATGCCAGTCACTTAAAATTAGCAAAGAGTTAAGCAATGTTGCTTTAGAACAGAGACCATAAATTTTCTTTGAAATGAATATGCAGAATGTTTAGTTTCTCTTATACAAAATTGTTATATTCTTGTTGCTAAAATCTGAAAGTGGATTTCATATTTTAAACATTGTAGCAAAACTACCAGTAATCTTCCTGCAGTGTTAGGCTACAATTTAAGAATTG